GTGCATGTGCCGTGCACCCCGGGGGCGGGCCCGCTCCCCACAGCCAGGCCTGTGCATGTGCCGGGCACCCGGAGGCAGCGCCACACACCCCTGCCCAGGGCGCCAGAATGCCTCGGGCCGGCCCTGATCTGGGCAGCATGTAAATCTCTCCTGTGTGGCTGCAGAAGCACACAGCTTAGGGGGAACACTGGATAGGGTTCCCTCTACGCTGTGCGCTTGTGCGGCTGCTCAGGAAAAATTCCAGTGCTGCCCAGCTGATTAGCAGAGCACATGCAGCCAGGTTTGTGTTTCTCCTGGTGGTGCACATTTACACATGCCTCGGTGCACATTAAAAATTTATTCTGCACGTGGATGGAAAAGACTAGTGCAGTGGTTCTCAAAGTGTGGTCCATGGACCACTAGTGGGCCACAATTGTCTTGCAAGTGGTCTGCAGGCTTGGGGCTCCCACCCCACCTCCTGCACTGGGGAGCCTGTGTTGGCACTCCAGCCCCGCTCCCTCTCACATGGTTGGAGCCCCAGTGCCAGCTTCCCGCTACTGGAGCCCTGAGCCTTGGGGGCCAGATCCAGCTCTCAAGGGGAGGTAGCGGCTCTGTGCACGGCCACTCCCCATTTCTCCCGGCTGGGAGAACAGCAGTGCAGGAAACAGCTCACCTGGAGGCTTTCCCCGCTGCACCCATTGGCCAGAATCATGGCCAATGAGAGCAGAAGGGGTGTGGCTTCGGAGGCATGGAGCCAGATAAGCACCCTCCTCCCCCTCACACATCCCCTTCTGCCGAGATTCTGCACTCCCCTCCCCGACCTTGACCCCCAGCCCACTCCTGCACCCTACTTCCCACCCAGACCCTGCACCCCTCCAGCTCCTCCTGCATCCATTTTGTCATCATGGGCAGTTGGCTGGTGGCCCATGGAATGGTCTGCATTGAGCAGGGTGGGCCTCAGGCCAGAAAGTTTGAGACCCGCAGGAGTAGAGGGTGTGTTGGATGCAATTGCCATGTTTCATCTACGATGGTCATGAGGAAAGAGAAAACTCACCCTCGTCTGCGCTGCGGAAAGCTAGAGGAATTAAACCGCATTAAAGTTGCACCCAATACCCCCCGCTGCCCAGGACTTACTGGTGTCCATGCTTAGCTTAGCTCACTTACGGTGAATTCCTTCCATCTGGATAGGCAGGCGCTGGACCACATATGCCAGAACCGTACCCTGAGGAATCCACATTGTCTTCTTTTTAATGCTCTTGCCCCGGCCCTGTGGAGTCAAACATAGCCCCATGTCTCTGATAAGAATCCTAAAGGTCAATACATCCTCCAGGGGCACTTGACAAGCATTGATTCTTGGCAGCATCTATGGGGGGGGAGAAGAGGGGCAGTTCCCCAGAGACAGGCTGGCTATTAGACAAGGTTGCTTAGGTTCAGGTTGCTCAGGAGAAAGGAACGTGCTGCCAGAAACAGCAGCCTGGGATGGGTCCGATTACAGCCGAGCAAAATGCCATGTCTGTCTCATCTCTTCGCTCCCCCGTCCTCGAAATCTTCCTGTGGGTGAAAGTGTGGCCAGGGTAGAGCTCCAAACCTTTGGACATGATGGGCACCAGCAGCAGCCTCTCAGACTGGGCTCCTCCACTGCTGGTGTGCCTCAAACCGCTGCTACTAAGACCGTCTCCGGGCAGGAAGGGAGTTCCCACTCGAGCTTGGCTTTGAAGACTGCCGACGAGCGGGCCAGGGAGACCCCGTTGTGGGGTTGGTCTCATACCTGTCCACTGAGGACTGGAGCGAGAAGCCTGCTTTTCTCTCCCCTGCCATTATGTCTTTTCCCGCTCCCTGAAAGCTCTTGCTGCATTTGTATCTGCTGCGGAGCACTAGATCTGTGACCTCCAGATGGGAAATTCAACCACAGCATGATGTCCACACAGAGCACAGCCACCAACGGCGGCGAGTGCAAAGTTGTGCTAACACCAGCATTCCCTGTAAGCTGAGTGCTTGAGTGCCCACCCAGGGGAGAGTCAAATGCCACCCAGCTGATTAGCAAAGTGCCTACTGCTGGCAGCGTGGGTTTCTATTGGTGGTGCACATGCCTCAGTGCACATACCAAAATTTATTCCACACATGGATGGGAAAAAAAATTGAGGAAACAGTGACTGACACCCACCCGTGAAGTTCCTCTTTTGCTGTGTCGCTTCTGTGCGAGCGTGTTGGGGGTGTGGGCCGGGTCGGATTAAGACATGGGGAGGCCCTACACTATGTCAAAGTTAGAAGGCTCCATGGCATGACCCAAAAAATGTGTAGTGTTCTACCAGAAAGGACAATGCAAATAGAAAACATTGGCATCTCTACTGGTGCATAAGTGAGGGTGCAACTAAAAACAAGTCGTTTTTTGGACTTAGAGGCCCCTCCTCATCTCAGGTCCTAAACTGCAGCTTACTTAGCTTGTGCATAAATCTGACAGGGTGCGGGGAGGCCAGCTACTTCCTCTGCACTGCAGGTGCGTGACTAATGCAAGAGGCTGTTCCTAGATATGGGCACCTCTGGCCGGCACGTCGAAGTAGAAGTAAAATAGATGCATTTATTTTTACTGTGGTTTAATTTGTTTATTTCGCTCGTTCCGTGCCTTACGAGGTAATCCCCATCCCACACTTTTTGCAAGCTGATAAGAACACCCTGGTCTATACCAGTGGTCACCAACCAGTAGATCGGGGTCTACCGGTAGATCTTTGAGCCCCTGAAAGGGGATCCTGACAGGTTTGGCCAAGAGGCTATTGAGGACTGGCACTTCAGCTGCCCCTCCCTCCACTACTGTGCATCTCCTGCCCTTTGTCTTGGAGCTGTCCCCTCAGTAGCCTTCTGCTTTCTGGGAGAGAGAAAAGGGGCGCTCATGTCAAGGTGCCCCCTCTCCCACTCTGTATCCTATTGCCGCAGAGCAGGGACGGGACACAACAGGACTTGGGATGGTGTTTCCTGGCTGCTTTTGGAAGTGGGGCAGGGCCAGAACAGGGGTGAGCCTGCCTTAACCCCACTGCACCACCACCCAGGAGCCACCTGCGGTAATCAGGGCCCAGCTGGAGCCCACATCCCAAAATCCTACCCCAGGTATGAATCCCCTCCTGTACCCCAAGCTCCTGCCCTACCCCTATTTACCCTGTATCCAAATGCCCTCCCAGAACCTGCACCTAGAACCCCCTCTGGTACTCCAACTGCCTGCCCCAGGCTCAGCTCAGAGTCCCTCTGACACTCCAAATCCCTTACTCCAAAACCAGAGCCAGCACCCTCTGCCCCAGCCTGGTGACAGGAAGGAAGAATGGGGAAGGGAGGAAGGTCGGAGGGAGCAGGGGTAGGGCCTCAAAAAAGGGGCACAAAGGAGGCGGAGCCGGGCTATTTGGGTGGGAGGTAGATCTTGGATTGCACTTCAATTCAAAAAGTGATCTCATGCTTAAAAAGGTTGGAGACACCCCTGGTCTATACCATGGCTCCAACCACCGCCGCGTCAGAGACTGGAATGACAAACGCACAAACCTGTATTCCACATACGTCCCCTACTTGGACCATGACTTTGACTTTGCCCTTTGCCATCGTCTCAATGAGCAGTGCTTCCTTTATATCAAAAGCCTCGGTCACAACAAACAGCTGCCTCTGATGGGAGCCTGCCAACTCCTTTATGAAGTCGTGCGACGTGTCGATTTTCCTGCAGAGGACACAGGAACAGTGAAACATCATCTGCTCTTACTGCAAGGCCGTTATGGTCCAACTTTCTTCCGGACTGTAGCTGCCAAACACCTTTTGATTTTTCCCCCAAAGTCTTTTAAGAACCCCAAACTAGGGGTGATGGGTGGAATAGCCTTTCCTTCCCCTCACTATTTCATTCACTAATTAAGCCTAATTTTTGACATACTATTTCATTCATTAATTAAGCCTAATTTTTGACACACCAATTTGGGTTTATTGCTTTCTAGACTCACCCTTTCCTTGTTTAAGAACATCAGAATGGCCACACTGGGTCAGACCAAAAGTCCTTCTAGCCCAGTGTCCTGCCTTCTGACAGTGGCTGGTGCCAGGTGCTCCCAGAAGGAATGAACAGAACAGGGAATCATCAAGTGATCCCTCCCCGTCACCCATTCCCAGCTTCTGACAAACAGAGGCTAAGGACACCGTTCCTAATAGCCATTGATGAATATCCTCCATGAATTTATCTAATCTTGTTTTGAACCTCATTAAAGTCCTGGTCTTCACAACATCCTCTAGCAAGGAGTTCCACAGGTTGATCATTGTTGCATAAAGAAATCCTTCCTTTTGTTTGTTTTAAACCTGCTACCTATCGATTTCATTTGGTGACTCCTAGTTCTAATGTTATGAGAACAAGTAACTTTTCCTTATTCACTTTCTCCATGATTCTATAGACCACTATCATATCCTGCCTTAGTTTACCATGTTTAATATTTGCATCCTCCTTGAATTATACTAATAGGCTGTTTTGTTTGTAATAATCTAATCTCCTTGTCTCCCTTTTGAGCCCTTTCCTATCAACATTTGTTACAATAGGTTATTGTGGCCTTTTATAGGTTATTGTGCAAGCCCTGTTATTGCAACAGTGTCTGGTTGTGGGAAGCAGATCTCAAGGCTGCAAACGCAAGCCCCTCTCAGAAGAGAGCAAATAAAACTCTGTACTCACCACTGCCCCTTTTTAACCACCTGGGCTCTTCTCACTGAGACCGTGGAAACTGAAAATGAGCTCTTCCCTGAGCCACCACAGTCCACATCGGTGGGCGCTGACTTAAGGCTGAGCATTGCTTCTGCTTTCTGGTCCAGGGTCTCAGAGTATTGCAATAGATCTTCATATTGCACCTCTGGGGAAACAAAAATTAATCAGGTTTTGTTTATTACGGAAACTCTTGGTTTACCTCATATCCATACCAGTGACTTCCCACCAACCCTCAATATACCCAGCAAAAACACTAAGGAGTCCAGTGGCACTTTAAAGGCTAACAATTTTATTAGGGTAAAGAGCATAAGCATTCGTGAGCCAGACCTCATTTCCTCAGGTGCTGAAGAGAAAAAGAAAGAGAGGAAGTGGGGCGTAGGGGGGAATACAGAGATGGGACTGTGGCTCATCTTCAACAGTGGTGAGAAGAACAAACAATCCTGTGGCACTTTAGGACTAACAAATATATTAGATCATGAGCTTTCGTGGGTAAAACCCACTTCATCAGATGGGTTGGAGTGGAAATAACAGAATCTAGGGTATATGCCACAACTCTTTCTTCCTTTCTTCCTTCCTTCCTTCCACTGGACTCCTTGTTTTTGCTGAAACAGACTAACAAGGCTCTGCCTCTGAAACAAAAACTCTGCTGTTTTAGGCAAATGGAAACTAGTCTCTTCCCAAAAAAGTTGGCGCGTCCCCCGCATACACTGCACCAAAATCCAGGTTGGGATTTCTGAGGTTATGTCTACGCTACAAGGATATTTCAAAATAAGTTATTTCAGAATAATAACTCCCAAAATAACTGTTTCGAAATAACACATCCACACTACAGGGAAGCCTCGAAATTAGTCCGAGGCAGGATCCCTTAACGTGGAGGCCCTACCTCGATTTAAAGCCCCAGGAAGCACTGGGGAGTAATTATTTGAATGGCCCTAAGGAGGAGTTATTTCGAAATAGCCACCATGGCGCGTCCACAGTACAGCTATTTCAAAATATCTGTTTAGAAACAGGCGTTATTCCTCATGAAACAAGGGTTTATTATTCCGGAAGAAGAAGCCGGTTATTTCTAAATAATTGCAAAACAACGGGCCTGCTGTGTGCATGCTCCCCTTGTTATTTCGAAATAACGTGAGGTATTTTGAAATAATGCTGTGGTGTAGACAGGCCCGGAGTCTCCTGTGAGATTTAGTGGTGAGTCAGTAAGCCTGGAAAAGTAGGATCTCCTTAGGGCTAATCCTGGCTCTGAAACTGACATACTGTGAGATGTTGTGCTTGTTTTATTTTATTTTATTTAAATATTTTTACCCCGCCTTTCTTTTTAAAATATTCAAGGTGGCTTACAAGAGCAAACAAACAAACACAATACAAATATATATAAAAATTTAAAATATGAGAATTTTAAATATGAGACCTCAGAGGGACATAACCAGCTAAAAACATAGAGAGGAGGAACACACACATACAAACTCAAACATTAATAAAAGCATGAATAAAAAGGGTGGCTTTAGCGTGCGTGTTTCCTTGTGGCTTAATTTATCCATCAGAGTAAACCATATAAAGATATTTCCCTCGTGTGTCTCCCCGGAGGGAGGTGAGGGTTTTAATGAACTACTGTTCGTAAAGCATATGGGATCCTTAAATGGAAAATGCTGGGGGGGGGGAAGGGGCGTGATTCTTAATCGACCCTTTCCCAAAAGAACTGGAGATGACTCGGCAGCCCTTTTAGACTGAATTCACGTCATACCTGCGTCCATGCTTGTTCCTTCTTTGAGCACGTCCTCCAGGGTGTAGGGGGTGACAAGATATTTTATGGACTGAAACGACCGCCACCGGGACTGTTCCCTCGTGACCAGGCACAAGGGCCTGTAACGACTGGCACCAGCCAAGCTGGATACAGGAATGAGCCTCCTGTCAGAATCCAGCTCTTGTGTGAGCTTCTTGGCCACCTGTTGAAACATGTCCAGCCCCGCGGCGCCAAATCTGGCTAGAGATGAGGACGTAGCTGGTGGGTCTGTGGGAGGCAAAAGATTAGAATACAGGAAGTGAACAATAATAAATCCTGCTCATCTCTCCTCAGTGGTAGATGGCAAAGCACTTTTCAAAGGAGGCAGATATTAGCTATTGTCTGAATCAGCGAAGGGCGACCAAGACTAGTGAGTGAGCTGCTTGATTGCCAGTAGAGGGGCCACCGGCAGCCCGTGGCCCACTGGGGTTCCACCGGCAGCCCGTGGCCCACTGGGGTTCCACCGGCAGCCCGTGGCCCACTGGGGTTCCACCGGCAGCCCGTGGCCCACTGGGGTTCCACCGGCAGCCCGTGGCCCACTGGGGTTCCACCGGCAGCCCGTGGCCCACTGGGGTTCCACCGGCAGCCCGTGGCCCACTGGGGCTTGCATAGCTACAAACAGCTGAGGGGAGGGGGACAGACAGGGGATCCACGGGCCGCAGGTTGCCCGTCACTGGCTTGTATTATGGCAGGCCCTAAAGGCACCAGCTGTGCTCAAGACTCCATTGTGCTAGGCGTCGAACGTACATATCGTAAGGGCTTGTCTTCACAACAGGGCTAGGTCTCTGCACAGCAAGACTCACCCACCAGGGGGAATATGGAGGAGCCGTGGGGCTGGAGAGGGGTGGACGGGCACATTAGGGAGAGGACAGAGAGAGAGGAAGGCGGTAAAGGGCCAATAGGTGGGCAGCAAAGGTATCACCACCAGCCTTGCATACTCGCCTTGTCTGTCAGCCCCTGGGACTCACCCACCACTCACCAGCGCCAGGGGGTGGCGAGCAAGGACCTGCCCAGCAGGACTGATGGGGCGGGGAGAGAGGGGAAATACAGGACAATTTGCCCATTTAAAAAAAAAAAGTCAGGACGCCTGCAAGAGGGGTTAACCATGGGACTTCCCTTTTAAATCGGGACAGCTGGTCACCCTAAGCAAACCACAAGAAGACAATCTGAGACATCTTCCACAACACAGGCAGTTCCTGCAGCCTTCCCGTTAGACATTCAGCAGCCTGAACAGAAGCATGAAATGCTGATTTTGAACCAGGAGTCACTTCTCATCTGACTTCTCCTCTCCTCCCTCTCGGGGATTGGCAGCAATTCCAATGAAATAAGGACAGGCTCTTGTTCCTCGTGTCTAGTTTTAACCTCAAGCTCTACGTTTCTCTTTTCGCCTTGTCCAATAGCATCTACAATAGTCCCCAACACACCTGGAGGTTTCTGTCTTCTCTCGGGGGCTCCCTGATGTTCGGTCGTGGCCTCCCAGCCTTTGATTTTTTTGTTTTGACTCCCGTGAAGTTCACCTGGCTCTCTGCTGTTCTTGTTCAGAGCTCAGATTTAACCACGTTTTTCAGTCTCGCTTCACCCAGCTATTCAGGATTCACGAGTCAAGCCCCCAAAATAATGAGATGGTCTTAAAAAATCATTTTAAATGATAATGCATGTTGGGTTCTTTTTTCTTTGTGTTCCCTCCTTCCCCCCGAGACTCTACAGAGCACTCAGGCTACATTTTTAAGCTTTAAAGAACAACCCCAGAAATGTTTTTAATGTAAATACGGAGGGTTTTCATTCAATTGCTTAACTCCAGGAACTGCAGCCTTAAAAAAAAATGCACACCAAATACAAAGAGAGTTGTTCTCCCTGCTGTGTGAAGAGCGAGACCTCAGTCTTTTCCTATAAAAATTGGGGTTTAGGCTGGATTAGCCAGACAAGTCATGCACACCCTGGTCTTTTCTGAGTCCGTAGCTGATTTTCCTTTTTGTCCTCCTCCTGCAAAACGTGCCTGCTCAGGAGAAGCCCAGGACTGGAATAGGATGGAATAACCAGGGCCCAGAGTGGAATATCAAGCAGCTGCAGGCCAGGCCTGCTGATGGGGGGAAGGAAAAGGGGAGGGGGGCAAAGGAGATAAATGCCCTGGCGCTCAGTGATTTAAAGGGGCCCAGAGTTCCCAGCTGCTGCTACTGGAGCCCTGGGCCCTTTAAATCACCACCAGAGCACCACATGTTCCAGGCAGCTCTGAGGGCTGGCAAGGGGGAGGGCAGTGATATGCCCCAGGCAGCTGTCAGCACCCCTGGCTTCAATGAGATGCATTGGTAGGGATGCCCAGATGGACTCCAGGACTGGACTAGCCAGGAAGAATTGGGTCTGGATTGAGGAGCCCCAGCAGAGAGCTGGACAGAGAGCCCAGGACTAGAATAGCAGGGGGGGGTGTGGGAAGGAGGGAGGGATGCAGCTCCCAGGGCTGAAAGAACTCCTGTTGGAAATGGGAATGAAAGAGAGATTTCTGTAGCACGTTTTAAAACCCTGGCTTACCTGGACTCCCACGCTTCCCTTGTCCTAAATGTGGAGAAAGTTTCCAGTCCTGTTACCTGTGTGGAGAGAGGATGTGTGTGACCCCGGACTGTACAACACGTTCCCACCAGCGACCGTCCGTCACTGAACTTGGAACCACCAAGCAGTGACTTTTCTGACATTCTCAGCAGTGCTTACCCATAAAGGGAAGTGAGTTTGCTGACACCGAGTTGCTTCACTGGCTATTTTTGCGCCATGATTGTGGCCTTTTATTGTATTGTCAGTGAATTTGTCAATGTGATATTGCACCACCAGAGGTTCAGTTTTGGTTGCTTCCATTTCAAGCTTCACAGCGAAAATTGCCTCTGCTGCTTGCTTTACATTTAGAGTCTCTGTGTATGCACAAAGAGCAACGGTAGCAACCATACGTACATTCAGAGATGCAAGGGATGCCTGTTTTACAAGGTTTATTAAAGTTACTATTAAACGTCTGCTCTGTCTTGCATGGCGTGATCGTCAGGAGACGGCTGTTTCCTGTTAAGAGTCTCCTCTAGGGAGCTCTGTTTTCCCGCTCTGGGCACCAATCTTTTTTATAATGTACTTCTGATTATACCTCATTAGCATGTACTCCCATTGTGCATCCTGCATGGGCGTGTGTTAGAAAGATGTGATTGCTGAATATCTCGTAAGCAAAAGTTACTCTTGCTGATATTGTTTTAGCAATACTACATATTGGTACATCTTTTCCTGTAATGTTAGGCCATTCAGTTATTCTTTGATCACTTATGTCAGCATTTTTTTTGCTCTGCGACCTAAAATAGCTAAACAAAGATCTCAAAGGCCTCAGTCTACAGTTTTGCATTTCAACCCTACTCACTTAGCTATCTAATACATGGTTATACCTTGTAACGACTGATCATTTTTATACTTCTGTAATATTGAAATTTAACTCTATTTAGCATACAATGATTATCTGTAACCTAGCATGTTAGTTAATTATGATATCACACAATAAATGAACAATAAACTAAACTCATTGGCTACATGATTCAGAAACTTAGCAAATTTCTATTGGAGCTGCACAGTTGGGTTAAGTTGGTGGGGGGAATTTTGGAGGGCGAGGAGAGTTTTGGTGATTGTCTGCAAAGATGAGGAGAGGACAGAGTGGTTAAATAGACCTGGGGAATAATGGAGAAGAGACTGGGAAAGAGAAATGGATGGGACTGTTGTTAAATCAAATATCTTTTTATTACCACCACTATAGAATCATAGAACTGGAAGGAATCTTGAGAGGTCTTCAAGTCCAGTCCCCTGCCCTCACAGCAGGACCAAGCACTGTCTAGATCATCCCTGACAGCTGTCTGTCTAACCTGCTCTTCCAAACTCCCTCCCAACTTAACCCAGTTGTGCAGCTTCAATGAAATTTGCTAAGTTTTTGAGTCACGTAGACAATGAGTTTAATTTATGGTTCATTTATTGTGTGATATTATAATTAACTAACATGCTAGGTTAAAGATAATCATCTTTATCTTTAAAGATAAAGCCTTTATTGAGCCTATTTATGGAGCCTGGATTCTTTTATTTTTCCACAAATGAGCTAGTATGGTTGTGCTTTTCCAGAGCTAACCAATGGCTCTGTGAATAAAACAGGGTCCCTTTTATGGAAGACAGTGTAGAATCAAATACGTCTTTTCGCTTTCCAACAGGGAACAATGAGTTAATGTGCAAAGCACTGGAACACGGTTAGGGGCAGCTAACAGGATTCCCTTGTGGTGGGCAGTGTTCCCTTAAGGAGGGGAAAGTTGCACACTGAGCCCTGGGTCTACACTAGGGAGTTATTTCGAAACAACAAGCGGAGCGTCCACCCTACCAAGACCGTTATTTCGAAATAAGAACTCCCGCTTTCCACAAGGAATAACACTGATTTCCAAATAGTTGTTTCGAAACAGCGGCAGTGTGGATGCTCGGCTGCTGCTATTTCGAAATAACTGCTCCCTAGAGTCATTCAGAGGAATTACTTCCCAGTGATTCCTGGGGATCTCAGTCGACGTAGCGCGTCCACAGTAAGGGAGCCTGCCTCAGACTCATTTCGAGGCTTCCTGATAGTGTGGACACGCTATTTCGAAATAGTCATTTCAGGAGTTCGGAATGATTTCCTAGTGTAGACATGCCCTCAGTGAAAGAGACCAGGGTATGTCAAAAAGATTCCCACATTGACACGGAATTAACCTGGCTGCTAGCTAGCAGATGCCAGCAAGGCATTCACCTCTGCAGCATCTGCAGCGTCTGACCATGAGGCTGTTATTCCAACTGTGATTACCCAGCAACTAGCTTGTGGGCCCGAGAATCTGTGCCATCCCTTCCTAATAGTACCCAAGATCCAAAGTGGGGCAGACCAGGGATGGCAGATGGGTCCTTCACACAGCCCCATCCCCCTCCTTCCACCGTGGATCCCTAAAATGTCAGGGGGGTGCCTGAGAAGCTAACGTTGTGGACAAGAAGGACAGCCGCAACCCTCTGCAAGGAAGCGCACTCCAGGCGCGTGGCCGTCAAACCAAGTCACGTCCTAGCGAGGCATGTGGCAAAGGAGGGTCATTTCCGCTGTTGTTCCATATCAAATCGTGGGTGTTACCCTCTGGGGGACCAGGAAAAGTCACCTGCAAATTTCAGTCGAGTCAATAGCAGATCTGCCATTGGCAACAACACTTTCTTCTAGTGTAAGCGAATGCTTGCCCATTACTGGCAGCCAAAGCTCTTTCCAGCCTTAGACTGGACGCCAAATGATCCCTGCAGGAAGAAAGTTTTCCTCCTATGTACAGCTGGAACACCAACGGGTGGAACCAAACGTGGGGCCAAACCTGGCGCATAGTGCACAAGCCTCTACTTGTCTACTGCTTCAGCTAAAAAGCCAACTGGCTCTCAGCTAAGTCTGGAAAGAAAAATCATTCTCTCTCTTTCTCTGTAAGTGGTCTCAGTGCCACTCCAGGGCTGCATCGACAGGAGTGTGGTGAGCAAGACCCGAGAAGTCATCCTACTGCTTTGCTCTGCACTGATTAGGAGAATTGCATCTCATTCTGGGCACCACATTTCGAGAAAGAGGTGGAGAAACTGGAGAAGGTCCAGAGAAGAGCAACAAGAATGATGGAAGGTCTAGAAAACATGAGCTACGACAGAAGACTGAAAGACTTGGGCTTGTTTAGTTTGGAAAGAAGACTGAGAGGGGAAATGATAGCAGTTTTCAAGTAGCTAAAAGGATGCTACAAGAGGGAAGGAGAAAAATTGTTCTTCTTGGCCTCTGAGGATAGGACAAGAAGCAATGGGCTTAAACTGCAGCAAGGGAGGTTTAGGTTGGACATTAGGAGAAACCTCTTACCTGTCAGGGAGGTTAAACACTGGAATAAATTGCCTAGGGAGGTTGTGGAATCTCCATCACTGGAGATACTTAAGAGCAGGTTAGACAGACACTTGTCAAGGAGGAAATAGATGGTGCTTGGTGCTGCCATGAGGGCAGGGGACTGAACTCGATGGCCTCTCGAGGTCCCTTCCAGTTCTAGAATTCTATGATTCCATGATCTATGGGACAGTGAACCACACCCAGCAGGTGGGTGGGTTACACAGACACTTCCAAACTATGAAATCCCAGGGAGGGAGGGAGAACAGTCGTGCAACATGTATTCCTTAGCTTGGCTGCTGGCCTCATACATCCTTCAGTACCCATTCTGACAAACAGGTTATGCTTTGGTGCACAGATCAGTACGATCTAGCGGGCAGAGCAGGGACATGTGCCCAAGAACTTTTCCTGTCTTTGCAATTGATGGACCTCTTGGAGAAGACGCGGCTGTAGTTTGCGGATGTTATGGAGCACGAATCATGAGAATTCATGTTTGCACAGGGCCTCAGGCACGTCAGACGAGCGTTTCCCTGTAAAGACAACAGTTCATTAGCTACTTATCTGGACTGGTAAGGGGCCTGAATTATGCTCCTGTTTTGTTTTACTGCAGCTATGTAGCAAAATTTGTTTTAAAAAAATCAATGCTTATCAAACAGCAACCAGATAAAATACGGAGTGCACAGCCAAAGTGCTACCCCAGGGGCACGTGTGGGTAAGTGACAGGTGTAGGCAATAAGGAGAGAGGGGAATTGTTGAGAGTGGTATGAGAGGGGAAGGTGTCCCCACCGAGAACTATGAAATGAAACTGGGCAAAAGGGATTCTTAGACTATCAGGAAAAAATCTCCTCCTTGTTCAGTCAGTGGGATATTTTCCTTTGGGAACAGGGGGAGGTGAGGATCATATAGAGAGAGAGAGACAGGCAGGTAGGCAGAGAGATAAGCAATCTTCCCACATCACTGGATCCCACGCCAGCAAGCTCAGCTTTTCCCACCCTCCCCCGCTTCCAGTTTTCTCCCTGTGCCAAACCTAGCTGATTAGTTCTAGGGTGACCCAAACGAGACAAGCCCTCTGGAAGGCGTCCTGCCTGTTTTTAAAAAATGAGCATACGGTACCATATGTTGCACAGCAGGGACCAGCTGTTTAAAGAGCCGGCTGGGGCGGGCTCTTTAAACAGCCCCAGGGCTGTTGCTACACTTCAAAGGTGGAAGCGCTGTAGGGAGCCCAGGGCCAGTGGGGGACTCAAGCAGCCCCCACTGGCCCCATGCTCCCCGTGGTGTTTCAAAGCGGCAGCGCCATGTGGAGCCCGGGGTCAGTGGGGGAGTCCCCAGCCGACTCCAGGCTGCATGCAGCGTTTCAAAGCGACAGTGCCACATTTGGATCATTCACCTCGCCTTTTCTATAGCATCAAATGTAAACTACTTGTCTGCATGGTCCACAGTCCTCATGGCTCTCCTCACCAGACCTACGATCTCTCATTCACTATCGGGCTGCCGACTCCCACCTTTGATTGGCCCATGACCCCAGCCTCCGTCACCCCTTCTCCACCTCACGCTTGAGGGTGGCGCTCCATAAATATCTGCAGCTACCTCTTTGTCCAGCCTCAGAGCCCTCCTTAAAATTCTCCTATGCCAAGATGCCAGTAAAAAAAAAAACGTAACACCCATCAGGCTGCTGGTGCACTGAGATGTCCACCCGTCATAGCGAGCAATATTGTTTCACTGTTTCTTTGCTCTCCCC